CTGTTTGAATCTTTAGCTAAGATAGGTTTTTCAGACAATTGAAGATGGTGAAGTTGCTTGTCCAGGGGTGTTTTATTTTGTCTTGTTTTGTTTTACTTGTATTGATTTCTTTCCTCCACTACTCTGCAACTTGTTGTCCTCAGGTTTATATCTTACCTCACTGGCCCTCACTTCAGGGGCAGTCACATTTCAGGAATTATGTGTTGTCTGTAATAGGGCAATTCTCTTTTATCCTTCCACTGTCAATATATTGGAGCTCATGAAGCTCTCTTTGAAGTCAGTGTGAGTCTCATATTTGGAAGCAAGATACCACTGAGAAAGAAGATTCTAAACTGCAGCCCTTTGAGGGAAACTCACTTTTTAAACCTGCATCTTCCTATGTACCTGGTTCTAGTAAAATACAATTGTGTAAAAGATTTCTTTACAATTTTCATGTTATTTTAAACAGTCTTGATCTTAGGGAGGTCTTCTTTTTAGAGTTAAAATAAGCTAAGTGGTTAATTTTTACTTTTTAAGGAAGAATCACTAAAGTTAAGTGACAACTGTATTTATTTTCCTTTTCTCAGACTTTTATTTCAAGGATTTTTTGGTCTGCTGGTTTTTTTTTTTCTTTAAGCCAGAATCTATTTTAACATCCCCACCTTAAAGGTCAAAATAGTTTTATGATTTGAACATGAGAAGCTATTAAACATAGACAGATATTAAAACATACAAACTTTGGAAGTATTTTAATGGTTTCTCAAAACTTCTGATTTTTCAACAACAAATGAATGTTGTATAGAATTTTAAGCCATTTTTCCCCTCTCTATGGTGCACTGGTATACAGTAAATGTCTTGGCGAAATATACACAAACCCAGAAACACTCACACCGGACATCCACTTGCATGAGATGATCTGTAAGTGTCTTTTCCTTTTTGCTGAAAGAAGGGTCAGCCCATCCCTATTCCCTGTGTATAACAGAGAAGGGTATGGGGGAAGCCAAAGGGGCTATTTAATGAGGAAACTTGTGGCAGTGTAGACATAAACAATATGGCCTTGGGACCTAGGGGCTAAAATACTCTGCCCTAGGGGCAGAGTGTAGGGGAGAGGATTCTTCCTTTACCCCATGAAACTTAAACACCCTCAAGTGTCTGGTCTCCCTCAAGTGACTTCCAAGGCTTTGACAAGGGGCCTTGAGTGAAAGAATAAATCTCCCTAGAGACTAGGGGTGGGGAGAGGACTTAGAGGTGTCTGTGGTCTTGCAGTTATGCACATGGCAACTAAGATCCACTGAACTGACATGATCTCACTTGCACCCACAAACTACAGAGTAATCAATATTGATGTGTTTCCAAACTGCGGTAACTCTCCTTATCTTGGTTCTGGCCCAAACTGAAAATCTTAGTGCTGGATTTGATATCTCTGGTCAGATTTAGGGGGGCTCTAGAAAGTTGGCCAGTTCAATTTTGGATATTAATTTAAGCTTCCAATGACCTATTAACAAAAAAATAAGACTGGCTAGAAACTTTCAACCCTGACTCTTCTGGTAAGAACAAGATCTAGAACAAAGGTGATGTTCATCCTACCTCCATCCTGCTCAGATCTCATGGAGAAGACTATTCTGGACTGGCTTTCATAATCAAGAGGGCTATCAATCAGCAGGGGTACATGTAGGACAAGGATGATGAGAATAAGGAAGGCATGCCAGAGGAGAAGTCGCTGAAGAAATTAGAGCTGATTAGAAAAGAATGATCTTAGATGGAAGACTATGGGGAACATGTTAATTATTGCCAAATATTTCAAGGGCTGTCAGCTAATGAGATCCCATGGGACTGGGAGCAAAGGATGATTATTAGGAAGTAAGCTGAGCGGCCACAAAATGGAATGGAATATTTTGGTAGGTAATGGGTTCTGTTACTAAAGACATTCAATTTGATATTAGATGTCCATTTGTCAGAGAGATTGAAACAGGGCCATTGTCAGCCCATACAGTGTCTCTGTGAGAATAGAAAAAGTACTCCCTCTAGATGGATGCAGCTCTAAGTCAACATGCACGACTAGGCTAGATTTCAGCCCCCATTTGTTCCTTTTACAGGGCACCCCTATGCAGGGCAGAACCTGCATAACCACACATGGCTGTGTCCATGATCTTAACATGTTCTGCTCCAAAGGCAATCAGTCAAAAGAGAGGAGGCCACACAGAATAAAAGAGCTCTCATCAACCAGAAAGAGTTGACCTATAGGACCTTAATGAAAGAACTGATCCTTTAAGCCAGGTGTGTCCCTCAAGAAACAGAAATAATTTGGGCCATTTCCTTTGTGGTTAAATGCATAATACTTCATTGCTGAAATGTACAAAGGCTACTGTCACATGAGGAATTTACTTTAGAAGCTATTAAAATGTAGATACTTTTTAAAAATATTTACTGTGGGCTAGAAAATATGTTAAGCACTTTTATAAATTATTACTTTAATCTGCACAATAAGTAGTAGTATTATACCCATTTTACAGATGAAGTGTAACCCAACTTGTCTGAGATCACTTTGCTAGGAAGAGGCAAAATAGGTATTTGAATCAGGTATATTTGACTCTAAAATTCATGGTCTTTCTCATAAAACAAAATTATCCTTTTGAAAAAAAGCAAGGTTTTTGGGGCGCCTGGGTGGCTTAGTCGGTTAAGCATCTGCCTTCAGCTCAGGTCATGATCCCAGGGTCCTGGGATCGAGTCAAACATCGGGCTCCCTGCTCAGCAGGGAGTCTGCTTCTCCCTCTCCCACTCCTCCAGCTCGTGCTCTCTCTCTCTCTCTGTCAAATAAATAAATAAAATCTTTAAAAAAAAAAAAAAGCAAGGGTTTGAAAGCTCTAACTCAACATCATAATTTTGCATTACAGTAAAATTTTAAGATTTGGAAGGTTGAATTGGTGCAAAAGCCAGAATGTGATATAAATACTCAAGAGTGACAATCATCCTTCCTGACCGTCTCTCTGAGCATTCTGTCACGCTGGGCCCTAGTTTATGTACCCATGCACCATTAAACTGAAGAAATGGAGAGGTGGTTTTCAGAACATCTGCTTGCACTGTTGCAGCTATAGGTTCACTAAAATCTCCCCTCCCCTCTGTAGCCTTACCCCATGATGACAGTCTCGGTGGCTGCTTCCTCCCTGCACTTCTTTTGCATTCCTGATCAGTACCGTTGACTTGGCAACTAGTCAACACCGCCATGTGACGCATTTCTCATTTGAAATTTGAATGGAGCTCTTAAAGTGGTCATTGTATAAGTGTCATCTCCCCATGTAGGTGGAGACCTCCATGAGGAGAGAGACCATAGTTTATACTTCCTAGAAACCACCTCAACTGTGCTTACGCGCAGTGCCTTGCACGGAGTTGACTGTCTTACGTTGTCCTACAATTTTAGAGTGATTGCAATATACACATAGCCTGAATTAAACCCAGTTCTAAGCATGTTTAGATTTAGAATGAATCTCCCAGGAGCCCCTGCTCAGTAAGTGTTCCCATCATCATCTTCCTTGGGAATTTTGTAAGTAGGGACCTATGGCCCTGGACGATCAAGTCCAATGTCTTCTCCTCCCTCTTCTTCTGACTGCATACAGTCTCAGACTGCAGTGTTTATGATTAGCAGTGTTTCCCTGAAACTCTCTGTATGTGGACTGCCACTCTCTTCTTTTCTGTAGGTGAGAACCTACTATTCTTGCTCTACTCCTACTCATTGATTCCTCTCCTGAGAGGCTACAGGGATGAATAACATCACCAGTAAATGTTACATTCACCAGACACAGACCAGCAGCCATTACAGATGATGTCTACGGATGGTGCTAAAGAATGCCTCTGCTTCCCAATTCTTCATGTATCCAGGGGCCTCTCCGTGCCCCAGATCCTTGGGATGGCACAAATTCCACACTGCGGCACATCGTTGCATAGTAACAATGGCTCGTGACAGTTGTTGGTGTCTTCCTTACATATAGGGCAGTTTAGATTAAAAAGTCAATAGAGTTCTTACTCTTCTTGCTGTGGTGCCCTCACTCATGTGTCCTGGAACCTAGGGTTCCACAGAGTGTGGTTGGAAAACGTCGCCCCTGTAGACTTGCATTCATTTATGTAATTTCAGTTATCACCTGCCACGCCACAAACCTCACATCCTCCATGAAAATGTTCCTTGACGTTGTGATTTTGAACAGTACTCAGTTTTGCATTTCCATAGCTCCTGGCAGTGCTCAGTTTGCACTTGGGGAAGAAGTGGTGGAAGGGAGGGAGGGGAGTAGGGAATCTTACTAATTCTTACGCCCTTTCTATAAATGTGATGATTGTAGTGAATGTGATACAAGGGAAAGTTCACAAAAGCATTTTGCACAAAATACCTGTTCAAATCAAATATGGATGTAATTTAAATGATTAATGTTAGGGGTCAGTAGCACTAAAATGGGTTTTCCGGTAAGATTTTGTAAGTAGGAAATGTGTTTTTGTTAAGAAACTCTGAGACATACGCAGAAGTAGTTACGTAATTACTAGGATTATGCATGGTCTAGATCTGCTCTTTTGCTGCCTTTAAAATTTTGTAAATTCCTAATTTATTTCCTGATTTTTCCCCATTCTGGGGCTTAATTTTTCCCTATGTCAAACATCCAGTCTGCTCAGTTAAGGAGTGTGGGTTTTGGGAGGTCAGTGGAATTTATCATGCTATGGTGTTAGCATTGTCAATTTCAGTCATTACTTGATTGCTTACTTTATGTCTGTCTGCTTTGGCCTAAATACAACCTCAAGTGGTTCTCTGGATCATAGGCAATCTATTATTTCTTCCCATGGATTTGATTATTTTACATTACATCAGGTAAGTTTTTTTGAAGTAGCTACTGATAATTACCTCGCTATTCTCTGACTCAAGTCACTTATCCCTTCTTAAGGGGGATAGATAATCCTACTATGAGTATAATTTTATGAGATTTGCTTTCAAGCAAATTTATGTTTCTCTATTTTCTTACTGCCTGTTTTGGTTTTGATAGTTTCAAAGAAAGCATGGAGAAATCATCATATTCCGACTGGCTCATAAATAACAGTGTTGCTGAGCTCGTGGCTTCCACAGGTCTTCCGGTGAACATCAGCGATGCCTACCAGGATCCTCGCTTTGATGCCGAGGTAAGAGGAATTTTCTCGTTCCAGTCTTAAGGTTCACTTGTCACACTGGCGATGGTTTGCTGGTTGAAGCAAAAGAGGGACCATCATACAGATCGATAGCAACCCCTGAGTTCATAGGCAAATTTTTTTTTTTTTGCATCTTTCCCCCGTGATCAGATTTTTAGCATTGCCTACTGTTGAGTAACAGAAAAACCTCCTGTCTACTCTGATTTGTGGTAAAATGGGTATCTGTTATGTATTAGTTTGATGCTCTTTTACAACTGGGTACATTTTATGTTAAATGTACCCATATACAAGTACCCATGCCTTAACTCATGGACATTTTATGTTAAACATAGTTTATATTAAACTATGAAATAGTTATTGATAAAAATGTGTATATAACATAGTTATTTCCCAATAGATGCTAGAACAACTACCATGTCTTTTAAAATTGCTCCCAAGAAATGGTAAATTGGTTTGTGTTATTATTTAATGTTAATTTTGTAGGCACATTGTGCTCTATGCAGAATATATTAAAGCAATATAGATTCTGACTTGCAAATGTTTAAATTCTAAGTATCTACAGTATTATACAGATAAATTTACATGAATTTATAAAATATCTGTGTGTGTGTGTGTGTGTGTGTGTGTATTCAATAAATTACACATTTCCTATTCTACATTGCCAAGCTAAGATCTAAAGAGTAGCAGGAGTTTTTTGGCGAGGAAGGTGAGGAGATGTGTTCCAAGCAAAGCTGAGAGAGCGTGGGGGCTGAGGGGCTGGAGAGCTGAGATGAGTTAATGCTGCAGAAAGCACCAGGTAGATGAGGCTGGAGGAGGAAGCAGAGGTCAGATTGCTCCAAGACTTTGAAAGTTACGTTAAGAAGTTTGAGTATTTGTCCTAGGCAATGGGGAGCCAGTAGTTGAGTTTTAAATCAGGGAGACGCAGGACTTGTATTTTAGAAAGATCACACCACCTCTGTGGCTACAGCACAGAGGATAGATTAGCAGTAATAACTGAACATTTAAGCTGAAATGACAACTCTGGAGACAGACAGGGATTCAGTCCCAGTCTCCAGACTCCACAGCCCTCCTCCTCAGGTCTGCTCTATGCTGTCCCATGTCTGGGGTGCGGCATGATGTGACAGGAGGCTGCAATCTAGACTTAACTTCGAACTTCAGTCATGTCATCTTTGCAGATCTCTGCAGGGAAATTTTTAAAAAAATTTTTTTATTGTTATGTTAATCCCCATACATTCCATCATTAGTTTTAGATGTAGTGTTCCATGATTCATTGTTTGTGCATAACACCCAGTGCTCCATGCAGAACGTGCCCTCCTCAATACCCATCACCAGGCTAACCCATCCTCCCACCCCCCTCCCCTCCAGAACCCTCAGTTTGTTTTTCAGAGTCCATCGTCTCTCATGGTTCGTCTACCCCTCCAATTTCCCCCCCTTCATTCCACCTCTCTGTAGCTGCCTGGAGCTTTCTTCCCCCAGGCCATGTCCTCTAGTGGTTTCTATTAATTCTTGAGCATGGAGCTTAGCTTCTCCTACCTTGCAAAGGCTTTCACGAACTCCCAGTCTGGGTTGGGTGTCTCTGCAGCGTTCTCCTTCGGCTGTCCCAACCCTGACCACCCTCTAGCTCTCTTCAGTTCTGATGCATTATTTCTGAGTTTTGACTTCCCTTTCTTGGGAAAGTACACAGTCTAAAGCTTCTTTAGTTGTCCTCCTTTGCAGGAAAATACCACCACCTTGGTTCTGTGATTGGCAGAGAAGAAATTATTTATAGAGGTCAATATTTGTATACTTTAGCATTATGATTGGGTTAGGACTGATTTGACAAAGTTTTGTGTTTTGCCTTGTTTCTTTCTTCCTTGCTTTTAAAGAGAGAATACTGAAGAACAGATATCTAAACACCGTTTTATGAAGGAATGCTTTCAGTATCCTATTATTGACATCAGTAATAGCTGAACAAACTGAACGCCTTGCTATGCAGAAAAATCATTCGTTGCCAATTCCTTGTTACCAGGTCATCATGTTAGATCAGATGTCAAGGGGTCATGGTTGATTCCTATCCCAAATTTTAGCGCTATGTTTGGTATGGATTACTGTTATTCTGCTCTTAGCTTTGGATCATGAAGTCAAATTCTGGGGAAAGGAAAGAACCAACAAATTACACCATTTTAAAAAGTTGGTTAATTAGCCATATGTAAAGGTATAACAAAACATGAGGCAGTGAACACCCACTACCCAGTTTAAGAAAAGAACATGATTATTACTTGTGAATCCTTGTACAGATCTTCCCTAATCCTTTCCCCCTTTGCTTTCCCTGCAGAGGTAACCCTATCCTAATATGACCTTAACATTCTTTTGCCTTTCTGTATAGTTTCATTGCATATGTCTGAATCCATGCCAAATATATCATTATATCCTACATGTCTCTGAAATTTATATACATTATATTATACTGTATGTATTCTTCTGTGGCTTGCTTTTTCATTCAACATGTGTTCCTGAGTCATGTGAGTTTGCAGTTCATTCATTTATTTTCACTGCTGCCAAGTATTCCACTATATGAATAAGCCTTGCTTTATTTACCCACTATGGTGTTGATGGACATTTGGGTTCCATATTTGGTTATTACGTACATAGCTGCTAAGGACACTCTTGAACATGTCTCTAAGTGTACACGTGCAAGAGTTTTTCTGGGGTCTGTACATTGCCTTCATCAGGGAAGGAAAAATTCTTGTCCAGTCATTGGTCTTTTTTTTTCTTATGGGAAACAGCACATGTAGCAAGCACAAATAATATCTCAAGAATACTTCTGCTCATACAATTTAGTGATTTTGGATATACCATATCCTTATGTCTGCAGACTCTTACCACATCTCTTTCTGATTAATGATACAGCCATTTTACATTGTTCTCTGTGCTTATAGTCCATTCCAATAAAGCAGGCTGCTCCACTGATCTATAAAAAGAACAGTGTGGACTCCTGAGCAAAAATGCAGCAGTTACTTCTGTGGGATTGGTCATAAAAATTTCATGCTTTTATCCAGTAGTTAGAAGCAGCGATGCCTGAAGACAGTAAACTGTGGTAGGTTAAGCAGTGACTATTTCCTGAAATCACTTTCTTCCCTCTGATAAAATAAAGCATGTACTTAGACCAACATTATTTCTTGGTCTTCCACCTAAAATGCTTTCAATCTGTCACATACCTAATACTAGATTTCAAATGCAAATCTGAAGATGCATTATATATGATGTTTACATGGGTGTCTTTGCATGGTATTGGAATTTAAAGTTATTTTATGTTTCCCTTCTCATGCTAAGGGAAAAAACTGGTAAGGAATTAAACAATGTAGATGGAGGTGAGTGAGAGAATTTTTCCTAAATGCAGGCATTTAGTAGATATGTTCTATGAATGTGTGTGTATGTTATAGTGTGTGTGTGTATTGCTAGGAAAAGCAAAATTATTTATCTGCTTAGGCTTCCTCCCTTCTCAAGTATATTTTGCCTCAGGGCATTTTGTCAACTGTTTATGTTAATAATGAATGAGACTCCAGACTAAGCCACAATGCCAAGAGTCTAAAAGGCTCCAACCTTCTCCCCGTGAAGCCTGATGTAAGATGGTGTAGATCATAAGATAAAGACAACCATTTCAGATAATATTTTTTATTAATGGTTTAAAAGTTTTCCTCAATATAAACAAAATGTCATGACAAAATGAAATTGCTTCGTTCTTGCACCAAAAGTAATTCTGGAATCATCCTGGAGGTAGAGGGTAACTTTTATAACTGTGTTGTCTTCCTGTGAAGGTTTGAGTCCTCTCCTCTTGGTCTGCTATGGATCCATAATTGTTATCGGTAATTATAATTGAGTAGTTATTTATTACTGATAGAAAATAAGGAAATAATTTTTTTTAAAAGATTTTATTTATTTATTTGAGAGAGAGAATGAGAGAGAGCACATGAGAGGGGGGAGGGGCAGAGGGAGAAGCAGACTCCCTGCCGAGCAGGGAGCCCGATGCAGGACTCGATCCTGGGACTCCAGGATCATGACCTGAGCCGAAGGCAGTCGCTTAACCAACTGAGCCACCCAGGCGCCCAAGGAAATAATTTTTTAATCCAGGATTAATGGAGTGGCTCCCAGAGTTTTCTCCACTGGAAAAGGTGCTTGCTTTTTGGTTCACGACACTCATTGACTTCCCTGAATAGTTTGAAGCTGGTTAATAAGAATGATAATTTGCAGAGTGGTAGCATGGGTAATCCCTTTCAAAGCATTTCCTATTTTTCTTACAGATTTTCTCAACCTAAGTCTATATAATGAACTTAAATCTGCCAAAAATATATTTTCCTGAACGCTGGTATCTATCCTAAATTTCTCAATGGTTCAATGGCTAATTCTGACAACTTGAATTCTCTTTACTGAACATGAAGAAGGACCCCAATTCATCAGACAATGTAGTGTCCTGGGATAAAACACCCAAAAATGGATTGGTCTTCTTCTGGGGTTTTATACTGTAGATGTGTCAACTTTCAGTTAATAGGAATACTAGAGATTTCTTTAATTTACAGATGAGGAAACAGACTCAGAGAGCTGAAGTGACTTGCCTAAGGCCACACAGCTTCCTTGAGATAGGACACAGAACAGACTGGACTTTCTGATTCCTAATTCAATTCTCTGACTGGTCTCCTATAGGGACCAGCTGCTAAGGGGCTGCCTGGGCAATGGAATCACCACTCCATCTTTCCTCTATCCACAAAGGCACATGAATGTTGGCCAGTAGACCTACCTCTTTGTCCAGTCTGCTCCACTCACCTGCTGAGTGGACATACTACTTGGGCATACTACTTGCATATATATTGTAACATGTAAAATGCTATATAAATATTTTGTAAATGATGCAGTTCTATATAAATGTCAGTGAAGATATTTATCTGATTAAGGATTAAGTTTCTTCTTTTGGGGTAGGGGCAAGTTGGCAGAAGCAGGTCCTTTTCTCTAAAATGAGG